GGGTGATATGAATCCAGCCAAGACCTCTGTTCACACTCCTGTTTTCAGATCAGGAACTGAAGGCTCCCTGTTGCCTCGGCTCTGTTTTTTGTAACTTTTCTCTCCATGCTAAACTTCCCACATGACTTCTATCTAAAAGAAGGCACCACTATTTGATGTGAAGATTTTAAGCAGCATTTAGATTGCGGATCTTCTGGGAGGTGTCATGCCTGTAAGATGCTGCTGACTCTCCTTTTTACCCACTCAACTCCCCCAACAGCCTCCACACCAAAAGTTTCACCATTTTTCTGGAAACATCTTAAATCCCTGTAGAATTATGGGTGTGAAACTGGTGGGTTGCAAAGTCATATAAGTACTTGAGGTTTGAATAAGTTGCTAAGAAACAAGACAACAAGGAGGAAGAAACAAAGGTTACACCTGCAAGAGAAAAAAAAATACATTAAAAAGCAAGTACCTGGAATAAAGATTCCATTTTTGGAGCAGCCATTCTGCAGATACTTAGCACAGCTCCTTCAAAGCAAGCACAGCTTCACTTTCCCCCAAGCCCAGTGTTGCAACACGGGGGCATCACTTCATCCCTTTGGTTTGAGATAGACTTCTTAGGGCAAAAGGTGTTTTCTCCACAAGCAGAAAGTCCCTTGCTCTGAGCACATACACACACACGTGCTGTTTCTTTGTATAGATGACCACATAGGCAGGATGCAAATCCTGGCCAGAAAGGAGCTGGCTAAATCAGAACACCATCCCTGCACCCTCCATGTGCCTATACCATATCTACAGAAGCTCAGGGACCAGGAAAGACAGCAAAAGTCATAGAAGCAAGGGCCTGTCAATTCCATTCTGCGATTAGCATCATGGTGGCCGGTATTCCCAAACTCCTGCCAATTGGTCATTCAGGCCTGAAGTATGAAGGAGGCCAAAGCTAGCATCCCTCACACGGAAGAATCATGTTTCATTGGATTTTCCTTAAAAAAAAAATTAAGTTGATCTCAGCAAGTCTTTTAATAGGATCAATGGAATTTAAATGTAAGGCTAATAAGCCAGATACCCCAATTGCTTCCCCCAACATTTTTCTAGATTAATTTCACTCTAGGGTCACCAATGCAGAATACAGCTAACTGGGGTTCCGAAGTTCCCAAAAAGCTTTTGGGGATGAGTAGTGGTAATTACACTAATGCATTTTTAATAAGCAGGCACTGGGATTTAGCACTAATTTGGGGAGGTACAAATTAACCGTTTCAGTGATTTATAAGTGGTTATTCCTAAATTATTTCTTGTTAAGCTCAATTACTTCCCAGTGATATTCTTATCACTCAGTCCCCCAATTTGAGAATCATAAACCGAGCTGCTGCAAGTGAAGCCCCTTGGAGCTGCAACAGTATGAGAATTGAAGTCAGTGGCAAAAAACTACCCCAAGATCAGATGTGGGGCACTGGACACCAAGTGAGACATACTCAGATATGTTATGTGGCAGGAAAGCCCACCTCTACAAAGCCTTTCACACGCACACCACAACAGGGATTGTATTTCATATCTGTCCAAATCATTTCCTCTTCATCCTCTCTAGAACATGAACAGTTATTTGGACAGAGAGTCATAATTCCAAACAAAAGGCATGAATTACATGACCTTCTACACTGACCTGCCCCTGCACCCTAGCTCTTCCAGTGTCAGCAAATTTGGGAGGACTCATGCAAATGGTAATCGTGCCTGCTAGGGGTTGGGAGCCCAAGGTGATTTGGAGTTTTGTTTTGAACCATATATCCTTTTCTTAATATTTCTTGAATTCTGTACTAAGTTCATTTATTTCCTATTCAAAGAAATCAGTTTTAAAATAGTTAATTATCAAATTAAATGAAGCTGTGCTCTCTACTTAAATAGCTACTTAAGTGTTTCAGTTAAGTTTACACTCAGCCTGGACTAATTCTTGAAAGTTATGGACTGTGCCCTTTCTCCAACCACATACAGTAAAACAAACACACCTAAACTCCAATTTCTCTTGGGAAGTAAAGCTTATGTTTCACAGCAGGCCTTTTTGGGGCAGCAGGGTGGAGACTTGTTTATGAGTGATACATGCATTTGTCCCAACTTCAAAATAACCACATTCTCAGTGTTGCCCCATTGGTCTTCCCCAATTCGAGAAAAGCTGAGTTTATTTCATGGTTGGTGACCCGTGGGGCCTGAAACCACAGAAGAGCACCAGCAAATGCAAATCAATCGCCTCTCCTGCCCTCCCACACTACTGAAGAGTCCTTTTCCATTGAGGACTCTCTGGCCAAGTGTCAAAAGGGGACAGATGCACCTTCTTGGTCACTTTTCCTCAGCCAGCCTAGGAAGCAAGCCTCTGTTTTCATGCTAGCCATCCCTCTGACCCTACTTTCCAAAATGAGCCTCAGCCAGCCTGCTGCTTTTCCACATCACTAATAAGATTCCTTTTATGGTCTTGTGAAAAGCGAGGGGCTCCAGACAGATCCTCCCGCAGGAGGGTGGAACCACCTGCATGCCCCTTTCCCCTAAACTCTAAACACACGTTCAAGGGCAGTGAGTATTCAGTCAGCTTGGGCCCAGCCAGATTTAAAGGTAGCCAGGCTCTTTAGCTTAAAGTTCTCCCTAATAGGGGATTAACAAACAAGGTAAATACTCTTGGTAAAAATGAAATCCCACAACAGAAGCAGCCCTTGGATCTCAAGAGAGCTTCACATACAATAGTGTTGGTTTTCATCTTTTTTTTAATAAACCCCTTTTCATGGCAGTTTTTGATAAGTGTCTTATCTCACTCACTGCAGAGGGCACTTTATAATGCCAGCTCCTGTAAACGTGGATTTTAAGAGCCGCTACCCCACGCTTCATACATAGACACAGCCGGATACTCTCCCCTCTCATCTCCTCCCAGAATCACAGCCTAAGCCGGCGGACAGGAGGCAGCAGAGTGCACCCCATTAGAGCACGTGGTGGAAAGCAAACCTCTGGGGCAAGGAGCTCCCCCTCTCACCACCCACCCTCCCAGCACAGGCTGGGCCAAGCCCCAGTCTTGGCAATGAGTCATGCCTCCTGGACAGCGGGAACCAGGCAGAGGGCACACCCCCAACATTTCCCTTTCCTCCCCTTCTGCAATCGCACCCATCTTCCTTCCACCCATTTTGGGATGTTGCAAGGGCCTTGCTGCAGGGTCTGCCAGCTGGGCCCTGGCCTCGGGCTGCTTTGGCGGCGGAATGGGGCGGGGGAAGGGGGGGGCGGGGCGCCGAGGGTCTATCACTTGCACCCGCAGGCACTATCTCCAGACCACCACCCCTTCCAAGCCTTGAAACGGCCCCCGAAGGCTTGCGGGGGCCGTGCACCCGCCCTTCCCGGAGAAGTTTGCAAACACAGCTGTTCCAGAGCCCGGGAACCGCTGGAAGTGAGGCCACAAGAGCTACACCACTCGGGGGCGGGGGCAGGAAGGGGCCGGCAGCGGGCGGGGGTTCCCGGGTCTAAGGCTCCAGTGAGGGCCGGGAGAACCTCCCCCTGCGCCGGCCGCCCCCGGCCCTTAAGCCCAGCCTGGAAAGCGCCCCCGCACACCCTAAAATCTCCCGGGGAGCAGCGGGAAACGGACTCCCCCCACACCCTCCAGGAAGGACACACCCGCCCTCCCAGCAGTTCACGGGAAAGGGGAGGTTGCCAATTTGGACGGCGTTAGCAGGCCAGAACTGCGCGGAGTCGCCTTCCACGGCGCTCCAGGTTTAATTAGTTAAGCAAAGAGATCAGCTACAACGACCTCGAGGCTTGGGGCGGGGAGGGTTACTCTGGGAACTTTTTACACTGGCCTTCCTAAGAGCCTGGTCCCACAACCCCTCTGGGATCCTCAATTTTGTGCACTAAGCAAACAGCAGCGGGAATGGGACCCACATCGACTACCCCAGCCGAGATCTAACTATAGTGTCCCGGCTCCCTCACCCGCAACTCCTAGAGACTTCCCCAGTTAACGCCGTTTCAAGCCGAAGCCCTTTAAATCCCTCTCGCAAGGGATAGCCGGGCTCAGCCAGGCGCGGGTGAGAGTCTCCGCCTGGCCTCCTTCCCGGGTCGTCACTCACCGGCCAGGCGAAACTGAAAGGCAGTACGATGCGGTTGCGGTCGTTGCCGCGGCTGGCCTTGAAGGTGAAGGTGTTACCCCCGATGACAGGCGTGGACCCTTGTCCGAAGCTGCAGGGTCCCCCAGCCGTGACGCGGGACTGATACTCCTTGAGGCACACTTTGAAGTATGTGTCACACTCGTCGCGGGTACACTTGCGGTCTCCCGGGTTCCGGGCGCCGCCGCAGCAGTTCCCGTTCTGCAGCTCCCCGTTCACGTTCTGCATAGACAGAAGCTCCCACTCGAACTGACCCGCGGCCCCGCACACCTGCCGGCGAGGGAGAGAGGAAGGTTAGCGCGGGAGAAAGCCGTTTTCTTTGAGTGAAGCGGTGGCGACTCCCTCCCATCCCCCGCCCCGACGAGCCCTCCTCTCTGAAAATAATTTTGCAAAACTACGTTCAAGAGCTTAACGTGATTTCGGGGCCAAAAAAAAAAAAAGTGCAAGAGTGCGTAAGTAATCTGACGACTGCCCGGGGGGCAAGAGCCGAGTGAACGCCCTCCTGCCCGGCCTGGAGGGATCACCCTCAGGAGGCCCGGGCTCCCGTGGGGGAATTGGCGCGCTCAGCCCAGGTGCAGCCGCTCAGGCGCAGGGGCGAGAAGTCGGGCGCTCGAGGGCTCCCGAGCCTGCTCGCCGGGCTCAACCGCCCAGGGCGCCGCGAGGGGAGAGGACCGCCGGGAGGGAGGCCCGGCGAGGGGCTCCTACCTTGGCTCGCAGGGTACAGAGCAGGGCGAGCAGGAGGCTTAGGGGGCGCCCGGGCCGGCCGCGCGCCCGTGGGGACCGCATCGCTGCGCCGCGCGCCGCGGGCACTCGGGACGCCGCCGCTGCTGCTCGCGCTGGTGCTGCTGCCAGTGCTGCCGTCGCCGCTGCCCCTGCGGCCGCCGCGTCCCGGCTCTAATATACTCCGCCGATTGGAGCATGCACGACTGGAAAACAACACCACTTTTCAAAAGCCCTTTCAAGAGCGGCCCGTTCCAGAAGGCAAAGAGCCCGGCCTCCTTTTATTATTCTGATCGCTTCTTTGAGACGCTCCCCCTCCTCTTTCACCTCCCGGCTTTCTTTCCTCCTCTCGCGCTCCCCTTCTTTTATTATGATTATGTGCAGCCTTTTATTCCCTTTCAGATCAGCTGCATGGAAAAGCGGGGGAGGGAGGGAAGAAAAAAAACCCCAGCCTAGCTCGCGGGCCGGCCGCAGGTAACACAATGACGCGTGCCCGCCCGGAGAGGGACCCGGAGAGCCCGTCTGGCAGCCGCGGCCGCGGCTGGCCACCTCTACCAGCACGCCCGGGAGGGCGCATGCGCGCTTATTAATATTCATGAGAGGGCGTGTCCACCCAGGACACGCCCTTCCCTTCACGTTGCTGGGGAGGGGTAGTGTGGTGAGGAACTTGTTAAGGGTCGGGGGCTTGGGGACGCTCTGGGCGGAGTAGTGGTCCAGGGGCCCCACACCGACCCCCGCCCTCGGCAGCTTCGGGCCAGGAGGGAAAGGATCGTTACTCAGGGACTCCTGGAGGCCCGCAGCAGGGACCGCCCCCTCGGGAGTCCCGGGCCGGGCGCCTTTGCCCGAGCGTCGGGGCCCCAGGTGTAGGCGCCGCGGTGCTGGCTGAGCGGTCGGAGCGGGGCAGCTTCCGCCTTCCGAGCCGCCTGCGTCAGCTGCGGCTTTCGCCCCGGGAGGAGGGCCTGCTTGCCCGCCGGGAGTTCGGCCCGCTTCCCGCGAGCGAGCCGCCCAGAGCGCTCTGCTGGCGGCAGAGGCGGCGGCGAGGCTGGCGCGCTTGCCGCCGTCTGCTCGCCCCGCGGAGGCGACCTGGGCAGACGCTGCTGGGAACTTTGAAAAACTTTCCTGGAGCCAGGCTTGCCGCAGATTCGAGGGAAAGCCTCCGCCGCGCCCCACCCCCCTCCCAAATCCGAGTCTGCGGAGCCTGGGAGGGCTCTCAGCTTCCTTTCCAAACCGCGCCGGGAGAGCGGCGCGGGAAAAGCGGGGGTAGAAGGCGGCGGGTACGCCGGGGCCCCTGTTCAGGCTTTCAGAAGGGCCAGCGGAGACGCTGGTGGGCTTGGACGCCCTCCCCGGCCCGCCGCCCGGGCCGCAGTGCCGGGATTGCACCTGTAGGCGGCCTCCGAGCAGCTCTCTGGGTGGCAAGAGAGGGGCCTGGAAGGAACCATGTCACCACCACCGCCAACCGCGGAACTTGCCTTCGCTGGGGTGGCAGTGGAAACTGACACTGTTTTCCACCTTGAGGCTAGCCTCGCAATTAACTACACTCTGGGTCATACTCAAGGTCAAAGAAAGCCCGCAGGCTGGCCGTAGCCTCAGCCAATCCCTCTCCCAACGGGCTGGCTGTTGCATTTGAGGGGACCTTTATAGGGAAACATCAACTTCCTCTGAAGGGTGGACAAGGTTTTGGCCCATTAATAGTGGGTATATACTGCAGAAAAGCGTGACTATCCAGGGGCCGGTTTGGGGCTCGAGTCCTCCTGGGTGTGGGGTGTGATGGGGCTGGCATTAGGTCAAAGGAAAATAGTTTCCAACATTATGAGTTATGAGAGCATAAGAGGGTGGGTATTTGTGGTTATCTACTTATTGCATTTGATGGGAGGCTCGGTATGAACAATATTTTAAGTGCCAGATCTCATCATTCTGAGGAATAAACTAGGGCAACTAACTGACCTCTTTACATAGGTTCAAAGCTACCAAGGATGGTTTAGGAGTCTTGGCACTTTAACAGCCTAAGAAATGCTCCTAAGAAAAGTGCTTACTTAGTGGTATAATGTGTCTCATCTTGAGCACTGGCGAGAGAATCCATATTTTGGGAGGGTGGTTTCTAAGAACAGAACAAGTTTACAAATGGTCATGTTAGCAACACCAACCTGGGTGTTTCAGTGTGCCTCACCCTCCCTTCAAAGCCCCAGTTATCCTAAATGCAAGGCATCCAGTTGTCAAATGTAATCCCATCTATACTTTTCTCACTGAAATTTCCTTCAACACCAGTCTCCCCAACTTATCTGTCCTGTTCTCATTTCTACTCCCAAGTATCCCTGAGTTTTGGTTGCTAAGTGATGGTTTAAAAGCAAAACGGTGCTGAAAAAGGCTGATGTGATCTCAAAGTGCACACTCCTTGGAGTGCCCTGTATCTGACCCTGTTTTAATTCTGTGCCTTATGCCCCACACGGCCCTCAGGAAGGACCCTGTGGAACCAAACCTTTAGTTGAAGAGTTTGGATCTCCACCTGGCTTCACCCAGAAGGGCTGTCTGAGATTGCAGGTGCCTCCAGTTGCAATCTGGGCCTCATGCAGGCTCGTGTCACCTCCAATCCACCAGTGAATTTAGTCCATTTGACTGATAGGAAAGAAAATGTAGATTCTGAGAGGTTAAAACTACCTGATTAACCCTAACAGGCATGTCAAATCACTAATAAAATAAACACAAAATTCTCATGTCAAATAGCACAGAGTCCCACACCCTTCCTGAGTCTGGGAACCCACTTTTAGAGAAGGGAGCTGTGGGCTGGAGGGAATTCTTTTGAAAATTTTCAGTTGGGGCTCTTCCAAATAATTGGGACTCCCCCAAAAAGCCGGTCACGTTTACCACAACAGACAATGAGTGGAAGCTCAATCCTCCACTTCCTTGAAGCCAGTTGTTAGCCCCCCACTTTAGAGAATAAGGAACTGCTGATGAAAGAACTGAAATACAGAGATTTCCCCTTAGCCAGCCCTTATCCTGCTTTGGGGTATAGGCTTCAAATGTAAATGAATATTCCAGAAAAAACATTTCTGTGGAAAATGCCATCTTCGGTATCATACCTATACCTGAGAGAAGGGGAGAGGCTTGTAGTCAGTTACTATCTGACCTGTCTCGTGTGCTCAGAACATCATCCTTGGATGTCTTTTCCTTTAATTCTAAAAAGATGATGCCTCATTTTTTCTTTTTTCAGAAAACTTGCCCCAACTTTACTTGTCAACAACATACAGCAGTTCTGAACCCCCAAAGGCTTTATAAGAGACATTCAGGCTATATTAGCTGTATTTAATTACATTTAATCAACTGCAATCCTTGGTTAATCAACACTGTGGTTAAAACAATCTAATCAATATTTATTGAGAACTGCTATTATAAGCAGTAACATGAATGATCAAAAATTATTCTGCTGAGTGAAGTCAGCCAGACACAAAAGACTACATCCTGTATGAATTCATTTATACGGAGTTCCAGAACAGGCAAGACTGGTGAAAAAAGATCACAAGAGTGATTTTGAGGGTGGGTAGATAGTAATAGAAATTGACTAGGGTGGGCTTGAGGCTCTTCTCAGGGCATTGTGGAGTCATGTTCCATATTTTGATAGATGTTTGGGTTACACAGGTGTATGCATTTGTCAAAATTCATTAAATAGTACATTTAAGATTGTTGCATTTCATTAGGTGTTCAAAAGAGAAAAAAAGGATTGTGAACAAAGACTCACCTCCAGTTATATGAGTGCTGAAACATTTAGGGGGAAGTGAAATGATATTGGCAAATTACACTGAAATGCATACAAAATTAGAGGGATCAGAGAGGATGCCTGGGTGGGTAGATACATGCTGAAGCAAAATGGTAAATACTTTTTTTTTTTTTTTTAAAGGGAGTCTCATTTTGTCGCCCAGGCAGGAGAGCAGTGGCACAATCTCGGCTCACTGCAGCCTCCACCTCACAGGTTCAGGTGATTCTCCTTCTTCAGCCTCCTGAGCAGCTGGGATTAGGCACATGCCATCACCCACAGATAGTTTTTGTATTTGTAGTACAGACAGGGTTTCACCATGTTGGCCATGGATGGTCTCAAACTCCTCATCTCAGGTGATCCTCCTGCCTTGGCCTCCCAAAGTGCTGGGATTACAAGCATGAGCCACCTCATCCAGCCAGTAAAGTCTTAATGGTAGAATTTAGGTGTTAGAGTGGTGTTCACTGCAAAATTATTAGACATTTTTCTATGTTTGAAAGTTTTCCTTCTTAAATTTTGGGGAAGATAGTTATTGATTTGCTAGGTATTTTGCAGGATGCCAAGAATATAGTGGGCAACACCAAAATATTGGTCTTCAGCACTACCAAGTGGAGAGAGTATGTTTGAAAAAAATGGTGATAGTGTAGATTTTAACAGTGAATGAAAGCAAGGTAGTTCTTTCCTCCAATTCTTTATTCCAGTTAGGTTCAAATTGTAGAGAAGGCACACATAAAATATCCACTAAGATCTTCCTTATTTCTTGTTCGAACATTGCAGAAACATTAACAAAGGTTCAAGAATCCTGTTTTACAGATATATCTTTCTTTCTCTTTCCAGCAGAGCCCAATGAAGCTCACATGTCCCACCAGGTTACTGCCTCAGAAACTTGGTCAAACCTCCCATGAACTTTGTCCAGCCAGCTCCCAACATCTGATTATATAACTCCTTCTGTGGATTATTCTCATTCTCCCACAGCACAGGAAATTCTACATGAAAAAAGAAAAAACAACACCCCACCACCAACCTATAGATAACAAACAAACACTGAAAATTAGGGTAAAATTAACCACAACCAGGCCACAGGTTTGCTCATTCAGGCATAAATTGAGTAGATTAAACTTCTTTTCCCCCCAAAGCTTCATCATATGTACACAAGAGATCTGGATTAATTTTTTGAAATCAAAACTATGAATTTTTTTATTAACAGTATAAGCAGTATGTATTATCAACAGTATTTTGTATGAGCGCATGTTAAACACTGTCTTGGTTTTATCTTGAGCCCATGTAGTTATGGTTTTGCCCTCCCTGCCCCAGTCCTGTGTTCATTATGTGCAAAACCATTAGGATGAATAGAATGATGTGTCCACATGCCCTTTACCAGACCAATGGCAGAAAGTCACCAAAAATCCTACATGCAAAATCTAGGAACTACGGGACTAATATTTCCATTTTACCCTTTAGTTAAAATCAAATGTTCTTTGTGAAGCTAGAGTATGAGAGAAGTCCCATGTACAAAATGTACTTTTTTCTTAGAGTTCAGTCTTTTCAGGAAAAAAAAAAAAATTCTGGGTGTATGTTGCTATTAAATTGGCATTCTCCAAACAACTGTAAATGATTTACATATCCTCCTTTTTTTGTAGTGCTGATGTAGTGAGTCGTCTGTTCTTCTGTATGGCACTTGAATGACTTGACCTATAGATATTCTGGGATAGAATTTTTTTTTTAATCAAATTGGTTCATTTGTACAGTTGACTGATTTAAATGCAACTGACAATTTTCTATAATTGCAAAGTGTGACTGAGCTCTTACAAGCCTTTTCATCTCCTAAAAGATTCTGGAAATTGCACTTCCAGAAGCAGGTAGTTGGAAACTACCACAATATAATTTTCTCTGTGAGTACCTTTCATGTCTCTTGCACTCGGCTTTTCCAAACACGTGCCTCCAGATCTCAAATAAATAAATAAATAAATAAGATAAAGTAGCTGCTGGAACTTGAGAAAGGAGAGCTAAATGTATTTCGTTATCTGAGAAAATTTCAAAACATACCTAGATGTAAGAGTCAAAGAGAGGTGATTGCACCTGCCAGTGGCATGAAAGTAACAGAGCTTTGAATTACATATTTCATGTTCAGGTTAATGGTCCCAAATAAATTACAAGACTGGGTCTGTATTTGACACTTTTGTTCTCAAGCCAGTGGTTTTTTTTTTTTTTTTTACTGACGGCATTCTCTAAATTAGAAGTTATTAAGAACATCAAAAGTGGATCATTGCAACGCTTGATTTCCCATTGGAAGATGTTGTTTTTATTATTGCTTTATGCTAACAGCACTTAAAAATGACTAAAGAAATATTAGCTTCAGCACAGAAATATTGGCAGAAGTACCAACTATACATTTCTAGATTCTTAGATATTAGTTATAACATAGGTTTACTGATAGATTTTCATAAGCCTCACTCAGAAATTATTTCAGAACAATATCAGAGGTTCTTTTTTCCTTTGGAAGTAAAGGTAAGACAGAAAAATTAGAATGACTATAAAGAAGAAAGTTTAATTTCCAAAAGATGGTTATTTTCTCCACTGAAGTGATAATATTTCTTAAAAGCCAGATAAAAACTAGAGAAGCCAATTATACTATTTCAGGATAGTTTGGCAGAAATTCATGTGAAGAGAAGTTGGGGCGGAGGGGTTGGGCTTCACTAGACCACACAGGTAGTGTAATACGACTACTAGGAAGGGCAGGGCTCGCAGTCTGAGGAAGGTAGGGGTTGGCAGCCAAGGAAAAACCATAGCCCCAGCATACTTCGCATTAGCCTTAACACATTTTGAGGGGTCTGTCCAGCTCTGGGCTGAACTTTTTGTTTTAGAATTGTGATAAAATAGACATAAAAATCACCATACGAACCAATTTTAAATTTTGTTGTGTTCAGTAAATTCACATTTTCGTGCAACAATTTACTGAACGTTTTCATCTTGCAAAACTGAAACTCTACACTCAATAGCAACACCCATTCACCTTCCTCACCCACCCCCACTCCCCGGCAATCACCCTTCTACTTTCTGTCTCTATGAATTTGACTACCCTGGGTACCTCATAAGTGGAATCATATGGTGTTTCTCTATTTATGCCTGGCTTTTTGCTTGACACAGAGTCATCAAGGTTCATCCATGTTGTCGCATATGTCAGAATTCCCCTCCTTGTTGAGGCTGAATAACATTCCGGTGTATGTATAGACCACATTTTGCTTATTCATTCATCCACTGATGGAATGGCTTCTACCTTTTGGCCATTGTGAATAATGCTGTTCTAACTATGGCTATAGGTGTATAAGTATCCATTGAAGACCCTGCTTTCAATTTTTGGGGGTATATACTAGGCACCATTTTTAAGAAAATATTGACCAACTGGGCAACTCCCAGAAAAAGGTGGTAAAAAGTCTAAAAATGCAGACCTTTAAGCAGAGCAAATGAAGGACTGAGAGGGTCTAACCAGAGAAGAGGAGATAGGAAGCATAGCAGCTCTCTGCAGTATGGAAAAGGCTGACTTGAGAGCAGATTTGAAATGCTGCAAATGGCAGAATAGGCTTAATGGGTGGCGGTTACAAGGAAATTGATTTTGACTCAGCAACAAACTTTGTTTTCATAAGAGCCATTCCTTAATGGAAGAGGCTCCCTCAGAGATAATGAGTCCTGCCATCTATGGTTATCAAACAGGATGCTGTGGACCATTGTCAGTGGTAGGAGAGAGAGGGAAGTTGAACTGAGTGATTCTCTAAAACTCTACTCTTCATGATGCCTGGCATGAAAGTCAGGTCTGTAAACGTAAAGAGCATCTAGGAGCCAGCTTCTAGACAAATGTGAAGTTGATGCCACTGACTGAGGATTAGCACAACCTGGAGCACAAGGGTGACCATTTTGCATAGATTTATCTGCTTTCTGAACTCACTTTTCTGGGATCCATTGCATACATATTGCCTGCAACAAGTGAGTCAATTCTAAATGTCACAGCACTGGTCACCATAGCCTTGGTCTTACTATTATACTTTAACCTTTGCAATTATAAATGGAATTCGAGGACCAGCAGCATTAGCATCACCTAGGAGCTTGATAGAAATTCAGGATATTAGACCCCTGTGCTACACCTTCTGACTCAGTATCTGCAATTTCACAAGATCCTCAGGTGATTTGTATGCATATTAAGGTGTAAGAGGCCTTAACATAACCCACAACAAATACAGAAATATTCCAGAGTTAGAAGTTATCAAATGATCTTTCCGCTGAATCACTGCAATATTCTATCATTTGGTAAAGTATTGGCTAGTCAATACACCTTTGATTGTCCCATTATGAGCTCAGTGTCATAATGGAAATTACAGTTATTTATTTAAGTATATATAGACCAGATCATTTTTAAATAATTGTAGGCAACTTTCAGGTAAAATATAGAAACCAATAGAAAAATATAAGTGAATAAATATCAGGACCAAGGAAAATGGAGCTGAAAGATGGAAGATCAAGATTAGAGATAGGCAGGTTACTTGAGTTGAGAATTGGATGCTGAGCTCCTTTACAGCCAAAGTAACCAAGGAAACACGGTCAGCTACAAGATTAACATTCTGCACACAGAATCAATAAGGTAGTCTTCAGACAAAGCAAAGCTTTTCCTGGCATTTTGTCATGAAAGATATTCACATATGTGTGAGCATATGATTATAAATATTTTGGGTGGCCATGGGTCTTACATATATGGAATGCGGAGGAAATACAACTGTTTCTTAGAATAGTGCACCCTGAACTGAGGGCATGGCAGCAAAGCACAGCTCAGAGGGAGCAGTTTGGAGGGGAAGTGGGAGTGGATTCAAGACTCTATCATTGCCATAGGGCAAGCTGGACTAACCAGCCAGAGGATGAAAAGTTGTGGGGAGGAGAAATAAGTAGTCCCAGATGAGATCATCTTTGACCAGTCAGCCTCCATCTGACCTATCAGCTGCCTGCAGACACATGACTAAGCCCAGCTGAGAACAGCCTATTGGCCCAGATCAGCAGAACTTTCCAGTCAACTCAAGTTTGGAGCTGATTTGTTATGAAGCACTGTCATGGCATTAGATAACTACTACAGCCTTCATGGGTAAAAATTTTAAAGAAAACGGAACCACAAATGTCAGCTTGCAAGCATTCAATGAATGATAATTGCCACTAGTAAACTCCTGCAAGCTAAGCATAGCCGACACTGGCCAATCTTAACTCAATAAGCTCCACTTGAGAAAGCAAGCTGAACTGTGAGTTAAAATGGCCTTATAGCAGGAATAATCTTGAGTCTGCACCAACTTATCTTAAAAAAATAAGTTATTTGTAGGCCCCTGAAAACAATCCTGATGAAGACTCTTATAACCAACTTCTACTTAACCTCATCACCAGATTAACCAATGTTCACCACTTCTTATTTAATAAATACTGACTGTTCCCCTCAACGTGGAGAACTCTTGCAGTAAATAGACTGAGTTCTCATGTTCCTATGTAGTTCTGTTTCAAAGAGGGAATGGTCTGTTATACTTCCCAATAGTGAATTGGGAGGGTTCCCAAATCTGTATATATCAATTGTACTTATTATGTCATTCAACTCAATATTATATACAATGATGAAACATGAGTGCTTAAGAAGATATTGCTTCTATGCAACCCAAATTAAATGTGACTTGATGAAAATAAATCTGAGTAGCTCAAAATGAATTTTTAGTCAATGAATGTCACCAAGACAATTAACAAAGACTATTTAAATATTCTGAATAATCTAGAAGAATTCTGCATTCAAATTGTTTTCCACATATCTTTTAACTTTCCAATTTAAGGCTAACAATTATAAAATGGCTTGTTATAGATATGATAGGCTGCAATACCAGCAACTTGAAAATGTTTTTGTCTTATATCAGAAGATAGGCAAATACATATTCATTTATACATTTGATGTTAAAGTAAAACATTTGTGTCTCATGGTTTATGATTCCATCTTTAACCAACATTTTTGATTAACCAACTAATTACTAGTGATGGCTGCATCACTTAAGAAGGTTTATTCTATTAGGAGAGCCTGGATCAATGCCTGACACATAACAGGAACACTATTACTAACTGCTGAATGAATTCGTTCGATGAATTAGGGGAAAATTGCTGGCAATGCACATTACAACCAAACCAGACATGTTTGCAAACGCCAATGTGTTTTAATACTGAGTTTAAAAAATCTGACTTCTTACTTTAACAACACTCTCTTTAACCTTACTTGTACACCTACTACCTCGAAGTCAAAGGAACAGCTTAGCTTTCCAATATTCCTCTAAATATTGCTTGTTTATACCAGTTCTTCGTCAAAGGCTGATAAGGCAGGTTTTTGGTGTTATTGACAGTGTTCCACTAGCATGTATCAGAATCACCTGGAGGCCTCATTCCACTATAAATTGCTAGGCTCCATCATGGAGTTTCCATTTAGCAGGTCTGAGGTAGGACTCTAGAGTTTACATTTCTAACAAGTTGCCAGGTAACGCTATTTCAAGGAACAAACTTTGAGAATCACTGATCTGGTATAACTCCAAAATAGGCAATTACCAAGGTCATCTGCCTCTTCCTCTGACCATGTACCCCCCAGTCCATTTAATTCCTTCCAGTGTCTCACCTGATACTGTATTTGACTTCAGTGTTCTGGCAACAAGTACTGAATTGGCTAAGTAAGTTGATGGGATGAGTATTGAATTGGCTGGGTAAGTTAATTGACTGGGATGAGGCAACAGAGATATATAAACCTAGGTTATGGGTCAGGTACAGTGTTGTTTTCTTATATTTTATAATTTAACCCCCACGGCAACACTATAAAGTTGATATTAATGTCTCCATTTCATAGATGAGAAAAACTGAGGGTCAGAATGGTGGTACACGTCTATGACTAGCATCACTGTTGCACTTAGTATCATCTAAATGGAGGACACACAGCTAGTAATCAGTGCAGTAAGAGTCAGGGTCAACTGAGACCAAGGCCCTGTTCTTTCCACAACATCTAGTGGGAATCTAAATTATCGTGTCACTAAGATGAACACTTAAATCTAAAACAGGATTTCTTGGACTTTAATGTGCATATGACTCTCTGGGACATCTTGTTAAAATGCAGATTCCTATTCTACAACTCTAGGGTAGGCCTGAGATTTTGCATTTCTCACAAGCTCCTAGGTGATGGTGATGCTGCTGGTCCTGGACTACACTTGGAAAAGCAATGCTCTCAACCCCATTTGCTTGGGTGCAGAGCCTGGGATGTCCCGTGGCAGGAAGTAGAGGACTTGAATGGTCCTTCAGTCATGTTATACACACAGTACAATTTGTCTTTCATTTTCTTAATGAAGAACTGGAAGAGGGAACCAAAGGGAAGTTTATATTAAATAAATGAGCCCAAGAAAGAATGCCAAAGGCCATATATTCTTCTTGAGAAAAAGGAGGTTGAGCTGAGGAAAAATGAATTGGGACTGCCTGGGAAGCAACTAGAGAATATGGTTACCTGTTCACCAACTGCAGCAGCATGTGATGGGAATCTAGAACAATCCACTCAATTACTACCTACCGGAAAAGGGAGTGTGGAATTACAGTGAAAGCAGCTAGGAGGGCCAGGGGCTTTAAAATCCCTCCTCATACCTTTCATGGCATACCTGTTGCTGTTTTATTTTCCTTATTTGCATATGGTGAAATTCACTCTTGTGGGTATACAGCTCTATGAACTTTGACAAATGCATGCAGTCATGTAATCACCCCCATGATCAAGACACAGAACATTTCTATCACTCCTCAAGTCCCCTATCACTCCTCAAGACCCTTTAGCCTTCATTCGCTTCTCCTGTGCCTATTGTTTGGCCTTTTCTAGAATGTTCCATGGATGTTACTCAACAGTATGCAGCCTTTCGAGTGTGACTTCTTTCACTTAGCATTGTGTATTTGTGATTCATCCACATTGCAGTGTGCCTTCAAAGTTGGATCCTTTTCTGTTGCTGAGTAATAGTCCATACAGGGATGGAATCGCCAGTTGAGAGAGCTTTGGGTTGCTTTGTTTCTCATTGGTTATGAATAGAGATGCTATACATTTGAGTGCAGGTTTTTGTGTGAACAAAGCTTTTAACTTTTCTTAGGTAAATATCCAGGATGGGGATTGCTGCATCATATGGGAAGTGTACATTTCACTTTTTGGGAAACTGCTAAACTGTTTTCCATGGTAGCTGCAGCATTTCGCACTCTCCCCAGCAATGGATGAATGGTCTTTCTGAGCTGCACGACCCACACACACACTCCCACCAGTGCCCAGACACACACACCCTTCACTGCAGGGATTTCAGTGAGATCGCTGTCAGAGCAGCAGCCACCTGGGAGAAGACTGAGGTCAGAGGTTTTAGGAAAACCAGCAAGCCTGGGCTTACCTCCCCCAGTCCTTCCCAGCCTTCAGGCCCATCTGTTAGGGCCCTTGCACGCCTCCTCCTTGAAGAAGCCTTTGAGCCCACCTCTTTCCCCAGCAAGTGTGCAAGCCCCAAAACACCACCCTCCTGGTTTAGGCTTTGTTGTCAGATAATGTGACTTTGAAAAGAAGCCCCTCCCCTCCCACCAAAAGGAGGATAAGAAAGGCTCTCAGATCAATCCTCAGCAGATACACGGAGTCGCAAAGCTCCAGAAAATCCTTTATTCTCTTTTCTGAGCAGCTGCTGTGGCAGCACCCCGCCCCCAGCTCTGCCCCCAGTGGAAACCTGAATGCTATTCATATCATTTAATCCTGTTGAAAATCCTCTTCGCTCTCTCTCGCTGAGGTGTGGTCGGCTGAGGTAAACCTGGGCTTACTTCATGTGTTGGAAAGCAGATGAAAGGTGTCACATGATTTGACATTCTATTTAGAAAACTGACTCTTCCCTAATCTGGAAGCTTCCACTCATAACCCCTGTTTGAAAGTGGTCAAAATAAAATATTCAAGGAAAAGTCACAATTGGGTTTTCTTTGAAGGTGCATTCACTTTGGAAAACAGAGCAAAAGAGCAGAGGTAAATTAGAGATGGTTCAAGAGGGTGGAGGGGATTTTTGCCTATGTATCACTCAGCTGAAACATCTACTGGATTTTTTATATTTTATCCTACACATGGCAAAAGAAAACTCTACAACCATTTTACCCCGTTGCCAATCATGGCCACGTATTTTAGTTCTCTCTCTTGCCACCAAGAAATATGAGACCTTATAGCTAAGTTCTTTGATTTTAAGACATTTGGACATAAGATACTGTAAAGCTATATCCAGAATGAGCGTTGAGTCTACTCTTTTTTATTGCAGGACTCATTGATATGCATCACTGGCAACATGCTCTCTGACCTTCTCAGGTGTTTTTAGGCTTGGAGAAGACTCCCCATAAGCATTCCACAGTTCCACCAGTTACAGAGAAAGCAAAAGAGTATGGGCAGTTTCATCCATATCCAGAGAATACATTTCTTCTGGCTTGTTTCAGGACCCAAACAGTATTCGGAGAATAAATGATCCCAGATGGCTAATTAAGGGTGACTTCCTTACACACAAAAAAAATTATTTTAAGAACCCCCATGAAAATCTCAATTCCCTGGCAGGCAATATTTATTAAACTTTTCCTAAATATAGGCTGGTCCATGAGGCATACTGGAGAAACACAAATGTAAGGTCTATCCCAAAGGGCTTTGTAATCACAGAGTACATGAAAAAAATATCAGAGCAGTAGCAGGGATATTAAACCCGTAGTCAACATGCACAACCTTAGCTGTACACTGGAATCACCCAGGGAACTTTAAACATTATTGATGCCTGGACCCCACCCCCAGAGATCCTGATTTAATTGGTCTAGGTTACAGCCCGGGCACTGAGACTATTTAAATCTTCCAATGTGTAGCTAAGGTTAAATCCTGATGTTCTAGCTAAACAAACCATGCACTAAGCAAGTGAATGAATTAATGACTTTACCAGAGCCTTCTCTTTCACAGAGGACCCATCCAATGTGTGTCTCATGGTGAAATGGTCCAGGAAAGTTAGGTGAGAGGAAGCTGCAGAACATACGACTGGAATCTGGGGTTGTGTGAGAGAGAAACTGAGAAAATGCCACACTGACTCCTGTCAAGTGGGAAATATGGTTGAGTAATGGAGGCACCAGAAAGAGGAGAGTTTTTAGAAAAATGCATTTCTTGTGGATAGTGCTTTACAGGTTAAAATCACTTGCACATTATTTCCTTATAAATACGGAGGCAAGAAAGCATAAAGAATAAATGTCAGATAAACTTGGGTGAAAGTTCCAGCTCTGCTACTGATTAGCCCTGGAATCTTGGGCAAATTACTTAACTATCCTTAGTTAAGTAACTAAACCTGAGTTTCCCCATCCATAGAGTAGAACTAATAGTCCCTTTCTTATAGGGTGGCTGGGAAACTTAAATAATGTATGTAGAATGCTTAGTTCAATGCCTGGCACATGGTGAGCTCTCCACATGTCTGAGTTCCCATTGCCATTATCTTCAGCATAGTCATCACTGGTTTGGTGTAGAACCATCAGCCTCAACCAAGGGGTACAGGGGAGTGAGAAGTGAGTGAAGTTTGTTCTGAATGAACAGAGTAGGAACGAAAAGTCGTAAGAATACTCCACAAACTAAGGCCAAAGGAGCTGTTACTTTATGGTTGGAACATTTGATCTCTCAAAGGCTTTATTTTTCTGTGACCAAATCTACACTTGCATGGCATTTTCAGAGGAGGGGAGGTAGAATTGAACCAGGGAGTGAGGCAGCAACTATTATATATAATAGTTGCTCAGTTAAAAACTTGAGTTGATACGAGTTGAAATGAAAGCCTCTTGAGTAGCTGTAACACTGACTCTTGGATGAAGCTTGACTCTGCATGAGAGAATAGTGTGGGTGGACAGCCAGGCCGCACTCAGTGACAGAGAGCTGAGTCCTGGGCTTGAGTGGATGCACCTGAGAAAGAGGACTGAGCTGAGTGAGGAGAAAGAAAGCACTGGTGTATGTGTGAGAGGTTGCTAGTATGTCATAAGCCATAGAGTTGAAGGGGCTGCTGAGGGTGAAGTTGAGATGGTCTTAGATTAGTGAAGAGCCCACTCTCATTTGAGACCGTTTTTAGGTTTTGCAGCCCTTGAACCCCCATGAAAATCTCAATTCCCTGGCAGACAATATTTATTAAGCTTCTCCTAAATATAGGCTCCTCTTCCTTTGCATGGCAGGAAAAATGAGAAGGGTGGCAGGAAGAGTCTGATGTTCCTCCCAAGATCAAAGGTAATGTATACTTGTTGGTTTTATGGCCTCAGACCAAGGCACAGGTGATGATTGCCAATTTCCCTTTTCATTCCAAGGTCCTAGGCACCCACTCTCTTCTAATTATACTCCCTCAATGTCCTTCCTGCTGTTTTCAAAGTCCTTCTGGGGCTGACCTCTCAGAGAGCTACAAGGTAGTTCCCTATGATCCCTCTAGCTCAGTGCTTGTCACAATGAAGTCTCCATTAAGAATCACCAAGAAGTTGTTAAACAGATTTGCATCCCTCCCGCTACCAAGAGTCTGATTCAGCAAGTCTGGTTGGGGCTGGAGCGTTTGCCTTTTAGCAAGCTCCCAGGTGATGCTGCAGCTGCTGGTCTGAGGTCCACACTTTGAGTGGGCTTTGATCTGACCACCCCCAGCCCCGTCCCTTGCTGCCTTCAGGATTCTTGAGTGTGTGCCTTTGCTTATCTCCTAGGGGAGGGAATTAACTTTAGTAAATTCTCCAGGGCATGTTAGTTGGGATTCTGGTCTCAGATGGGGGCTTCTCAGTGGAGGTTTTAAAATAAGACTCAAATATTGGTCCTTTTGGAAGAGCTTTTATGGAAAACTGAGTCTATAATGCCCATGTTCTTCTAAGCAGAACCACCATCGTATATTGTGTCCCAAGTGTGCTTAAGAGGCATGAAGGTGTAAGATGAGGGTGAGGTGTGCTACAAAATTTTGTAAGTTATTTAAAGTCTGTATTCTGTATGCCAATGTCTCCTTTTTTTTCTTTGCACCTGGGGAATTTTTGAGAAAGAAGACAATCATCTTTTTGACAATTTGTTTGTTCTGCTGAGCTTCCTTTGAAGTTTGAGTCTCAAAACCAAAACTTTACACAAGGGATTTTTTGTTTCTTCCTGATCTGCCAGGATGAAATCCTCAATTTGGTTTGCCCTACCTCACAAATAGCACTTATAACATGTATGCTAGAACTGCCTTTTTAAAAGGACTATAATGCAATCTAAATGTTCTTCCAAAACAAAACCCTCTGGGTTAACAATAGTCCTGATTTCTTCCAACATGTGGACTTGTGGGGTTTGGTAACCGAAGTGGGTGAAAGGTCCTGTTGGTTCTCAGAGACTCAAAGGTCTCCCTGTGGATGGCCAAACTGCAAAATTGGAGCAGCCCAGAGTTTGGTGTAGACAAGTCCATCTTAATTCCTATTTGGGGTTTGCCTTATCTAACTAATTCCGTTCTATGGACTTGCCACCTGTCCCAAGGCAGCCTAAATTGAGTGAGGCCTGGTGTCCTTGCAAAAGAGGTGGTTCTTAGATAACAACTGGAGTTTATTTTGATCTCTATCTTTTGAAGGCAGAAACCATTCATGTTTAACTTTAAAGAAAGCTGTGATTTTTTTTTTTCCTAGAGCAAAGCTACAATATGAAGACAGGATTCTATTAAAAACAGACAAATAATTCCCATTCCTTCCTGGTCCTGCCTATTGTTTT